GGAAAAAAAGGGAAGAAAAGAAAAAACATTCATACACAACAGAAAAATAGTATTTAAATTAAATAATATCTTATTAAATTATTGATACCATATTTATCCAAATGGAATGTGAAACTTAAGCAAATACATTTTTTCTGTTTTAACCTGGATGTTGTTTCTCTGCTATAAATTCCAATTAGTGTAAAATTTGAAAAGAGATATTTTTCTTTTTTTTTTAGGATTTTGAGGTCTGAATGGCAAATACAACTTTAAACAACACAAAACTGTCTGATGGCAACAGGTAAGGTTAAAACTTCAGCTTTTCTTTCACACAAATGAATGAAGTAGTGACAAACAGAATTTAGAAAGCTCTTTTGTTTTGTTTTGTAGTCGTGAGCATTTCAGCAGCTGAAGTCAAACAAAACATATTTTCCCATAGCAAAACCTTCCCAAGGCTTGTGAGATGGAAAAATCGTGAATAAAGATTTTCTTAGAAACTATTCTTCTAAAGAACAACAAGAGAAATTGAAATAAAATGCATGCAGCTGAACTGAAAGATTAATGCAGTTTAAATTTTTTTTCTTTAATTACTTTTAAAAGGTGGAAACACAGCAGTGTCTTTCGTACGTTACACAACTAAAACAGCAGCCTTCAAGTTACCCACTTTTGAAATTACTGAGACAATCAGCATTTACATTTAAGAGCTGATATTTTGGTAGGAAAAAATTAATCCCATGCAGTATTAATGCCCATAGCTACACTAGCTGAAATCATAAGGAATTTTTATATGGGAAAAGTACATTTTAAAAATTACTTCAATGGTGATAACTTCCAAAACCTGGAGTAATCTTAATCTACTGGAAAGAGAGGCGATTTAGAAATTTTGGTGAAAATAATTAATCGTCTTCTTTTGGCTGTAGTCCTTAAAGATTCAGTAACATTGGGGTGTTCACCCAGGGGTGCTTTCCTTTTACATATTTAAGTGTGGGGAGGAATCATTAAAGTGATTTAGGCTGCCAGGTATTAGGCATTGGCTTATTGACCAATGCCTAGCTTAGTAACAACACCTGTCCTGGCTAATGTTACTAAAAAGGAAAAACAACCAACAGAAACATACAGCGAAAAGAAAAACACCTTTGCATTCCTAACAGACAGAATACTGAAAAAGCAAAAGCTGTGTTCATAGGTGAAAATACAGCAAAGCCTGCAAGGCAATCAGGACAGCTAAGATCTTTCTTTGTGGCTGTGGACAGTTCAGATACCAAATTTGGAATCAGTAGTGAGAACACTTTGGGTGTGTTTGCTTTAGGAACAACAACACTGCTTTACCTGTGCCACCATTAGGATCCAGAGCTTTCCCCACTCCTGCACTTTCAGTGCACAGAATCCTACATGCACAAAAACACACCAAACAACTCAACACAAAGAAGTATTTTCAAGTGCCCGCCCATGTCCTGCCCTCTGAGTAAATAAAGGAATTTGTGCAGCTTTAGTAGTTTTTATGGTGCTGTCTTTGTGGTAGCTATGGTGAGATTAGAGCCATGTGCAGTGCCATCTCCACACTGGCATAAAAATCCTGCTGTGTGCTACCAGGGCTGGCTTGTGCTGCCACCAGGGTTAGCAAAAACAGGGTGAAATTCTTGCCTGAACTCTTGAAGTCCAGTGGTTTCTCTGGCCTATGGCACCATGAGGAACCAAAAAGTAATTAATTCTCCCAAAACTAAATTTCATCCTAATGCATACAATCATTAACAACTACTTAGAAGACAAATAGACAAACACCCTCATTCCCCAGTAAGGGATATATTTCCTATATTAATGGGACTCTGTTATGAGGAATAATCTAAATTTAAATCTTCTTTCCCTAAATAAAATTAACCTTCTTCTTCTAGTCAGCCAGATTTCTGTTTCATTGTTTATGTTGCTTTCTGCTTCTGAGTGCCTTCATTGTGCTTCCAGGAATAACTGAGTGACAACTAATTACAGTCTTCTGATCACATGAAGGAAAATAAAGAAAGTAGAAAGTAACTAAAAACCTAAAGAAATTGGCAGCATCGCAAGTTCTGCTTCTTTCTAAATGACAAACAGCACTTCCCCACTGTGTTACTAAAATCTACAGATCATCTTACAGACAAAAGAAAATAAATTCCTTGCATATGCAATATCTTTTGGCAAAAAAATGAACTGAAAACTGCTTATCAGACCAGCTGGATAGAGGATGCTCACACAATCTTCTATCAGGCTTCACCAGACCAAAGTATTTCTCAGCAACAGCAGCCAGAAGAGAACACGATGCTTCAAGTTAAAACAATGACATATCAAGTGGGGAATGCTAACCCAGAGATCAGCACAGCCCCTCATTTGGCCACAGCAACACGGAGAGGGACTAACAAACGCGTGTGCTTTACCTGGCCGGGCACGATGCCCTGGAGCTGAACCGTGGGCAATAAACACGGGTTTGCAAGCACGGCCAGTCACACAGAGATGAGGTGACCCTCTCTCGGTGCTTTTTCACCATTTGTAAAGTTACACCTGAAGGAGGGGGGTGACAGCTCAGCTCCCCGTGCTGCTGACCGCTCTGAGAGGTCTCTGTGAGCACAGGGACTGTGCTGCACTGACACTGCAGTGCACAGCTCACAGCGTAGGGCAGGCAGTCTCAGAGTGGCTATAACCTGACAGCTTTACTGCTAGCAGCAGCAGCACCTGGGGGGAAGGATGGACAACTACCTCGCCTTCTCCCATTTTTCAGCTGTGCTGTTTTCACACACCGTGCAAATCTGAGCTGCCAAACCCAGTGGCAAGCACACAGAATAGGAGCTACTTAAATTCCCATTTCTCCAGCACACTAAAGAAATTAGACTTTTCTCAAGCAGTGCAACAAAAAGAGGTGTATTTATCAAGGAGCTACAGCTCCCTGCCCATCATGCCTTCAGCAGCTGTAGTGGGTGAGCTGGTTTGTGACAGACAGGCAAGAGGAGTAATCTGAATCCCACCATCCCACTGCTTATTCAGAGCCGATAGCTGATGTTACCCTCATTCGCTGGCTGGCTCGCTTTTCTTTAACGTTTTGACACTAGTCCTGAAAAGGAAGGATTTAAGCTAAACCCTTTTCAAGAACGCAAATGTGTTTTTTGCAATTAAAGCCACACAATTAGCAATGACAAGCTCAGGTCAGCAGAACATAGATTATGCTGTTCAAATGCTCTGCCACTCAGTGCCTCCAGCAAAAAGCTGCAGGAGAGGAGAAGGGAAAAAAGAAATCTCACACACATTATTTAACAACTTGTGCTCTGATGCACAGCACCACTTGTAGATTTGTGGAGGGAGGTTCATTTATTTATTTACTTAAAATCCCTTAGGCTCTGGCCTCCTTCCCCACTGATTATATTATTTCAAGACAACAAGAACTATTCTTCAGGGCAAGAAAGCTGGTAACATTTAGAATTAAACTTCCCAAAAATAAATATTAAACAAATGTTCAAAGTCTTAAAATCCTTCACTTAAAAATATTTCCCTTAATTCTTCACAAAAGGTATTTGCTTATGATCTTCCTCATTCAGCCACTTGTTTTGCCCTTGACAAAGAAAGCAGATTCCTGTCCATGTCATGACATAAAGAATATTTTAAATGAATACTGTTCTTTTGTGTTAAAGTATCTAAACTGTGTGCGTACATGTATAGATCATAGACAAGAAAGCCAAGTGTAGAAGCCAAAAGAATTTCTAATTTCTTACCAGTTTAGATATTTTCCCTCTGAAATGTCTTTATTTCATTACTACAAATATTGGCACCTACAGATCTTTTTTATTAACATGATCACTCTGTTTTCACTGTACACAGACAGACCACGTCTTTTAAAACCAAAGGTAGTATCATAGCAAAATGTGAGCAAATATACCACTTAGCCAGCATGATTGATGACTGCCATAGTAAGTGCAATGCTGATTTTGAATTTCAGATCTTGATCCCATTTTTGAATCCTCTTTCAAGAAAATCTAGGTTTCATTGCCATAAATTATGAACCCTGTGACTGAAGCTTCTGTTTGTATCTAAGTGCTACATACATGTTTATGGCATCATTTAACTGACAACAATACTTTAAAATTAATATGCACTATCCAATTCAAATACTCCTGTGCCTGCACTCACTACCTTGTTTTCAATGGTTATGAGACATAAGGGCCTCGACCTTAGAAACAACATATGATACAATGTGGTAGAATTTCATATGAAGCTGAGTTCAAGTCAGTGTTCATACACAACTTTAAAACAAAAATTTGTTTCCAACTCAGTGTGAGGTAAGGAGCACTGGAAATCCCCAGACTAACAACAGCATAATCCCTTGCCCTTCTGTATGGCAAGTTTATTCCTTCTGCAAGATAAGAAGACTACCACATGAGCCTGGAAATTCCCAACACAGAATTCCCAATTCATGTGTCTTGCAAAACGATAACACAGGGCTTCTTAAAAAGCAAACAAACAAAAAAAACTCAGAAAAGGTGAAATTAAATATCTGTCCCACGTCCCCTTCTTTCTTTTTTTCAAGTAATATTTTCATTACTTCAGGGCAGAAAATCAACAATTTCCTCCTGCTAGCACTAACAGCTTTTATATACAGAGATAGATAGATAGATAGATAGATAGATAGACAGACAGACACACACACTTATGTGAATTTACTCACCATTTTCTCCTTTGTACCTGTCCTGCCCCTCAAGGTATTTGGGATACAAAACCAAGCTATCTCTTTGAGTTTCTGTTGTGAATTTGTGCCAGGCTGGAAATTTTTCTTTTAAAGCCAGTTTAATTTGAATTGGTTTTCCTTCTTAGTTTTTAAAATTCAAACTACAAACAGCACATACCCTTCAGCACAGGTGATTAAAAAAAAAAAAAAGAAACAAAACCACAACAACAAAAAAACCCCACACCAAACCGTGTGACCGGGTAGCTCCAGTTGCACCAAGGCGAAATTTCTGTGGGATATATAATGAAAACACAGATATATAGATCACATTTCTTACCATGTCCCCAGGCTTGACAGAAACTGCCACAACTGTTCCAGGCATAGGAGATCGCAAAATGCTAGAGGTGTCCTCTGCTGCTTTCTCTGGCATGTACTTGCTCAGCTCCGCAGCAACCTTCGTCAGTATTTGCAATTTGTACTAAAGAATAGGGAGAGGGCTGATTTAGAAAATTGTACCTTGGTGAATTCCAGTCAATAACCTGCATTATTTTATGGCATGTTTTTATGTATTACATCTGTTAGCTGTTCTTCACGGGAGTGTCTAAAAAACACTGTTTGAAATCCTTATGCAGAGTTTCATTTTCAGGATGTAGAAAGAAAAATATGCAACCCCAGTCTGCAGCAAAGTGCACATAAAACCAAAGAATCAAGTACAGTAAGGAGATGTCAGACTCATTTTAAAATTTGCAATAGAGAGGAGAGATTCAAATTTAAAAACAAAAATGTCCTTATGCTTGCTGCACGTTACCTTTGGTGGATAAGGAATATTGAAGGACTCTTTTCCAGTGCATGATGAACTGGAAAATGACCTTTTGGGAAAGTCTGCCAGACTGTCAATGACATGACTGATCTTAAACATTATGCTTACCTTTTAAATATTTACCATGTTTGAAGTTAGTAATTTGCTTGGATTTTGCAATTAAAAGCTATTAATTCCATTTCAATTCTGATTTTTCATGCATAAGCAGAACAATTAAATGTCGTTGTATTGAATATACTTTATCTGCAATAAAACCCTTTCAGTAGCCATTACCTATCTGGAGAAAGCATTGTTTTCTCCAGTATGTTTTATAGGGATTAAAAACAGAGGGGAATATGAGGACCCTAAGGTGAGAGCATCCCTTTCAATAAAACCTTTTGTAAGGTATATAAATATTGCCTAAAGTGATTTGGCCCAAGAGCTTTTAGTTTTTAAAAACTCGCCATTACTTGGCGAGCTCCCTGCCCTCAGACAGAGGGCCGGACGGACGGACGGACGGACGGGAGGGAGCGCACGGAGCCAGTAGATGGCAGCAGGTCTCTGTGCGACACTCGCCCCGACACTCGGCACACCGAGCGAAGGAAGGCCAGCGCCGCACTTCATCAATAATTTAAACAAAGGTTTTAATAATAAGCATCCGACGGACGGCATTTACAATTCAAATGCGTATTTTGCTGATGTAAAGTTCAACACCTTGCTTGGAACAGTATGTTTTCCTCAAAAACAATTAGCTATTGTTTTATTAACAATAAAATGTCTTTACTTTTCATTTTTACATGGACAGAAAAAATCCGATATCCTTCTGGTGAAGGGGTACTCTACCTTCTGCTTCTGTAGGAAGCAGAACAAGGTATTTAGAAATGCATGCAAAAGGTGATTAACTCTGCAGTGACATCTTTAAAATGCAGCTTTCAAAGCCGAATTAAAACAACGCAACAGAGGATTATCATCCTCCATAAATGATGTGTGGACACACAACATTTTGTGAGGTGAACAGTGCAGTCATTCACTCAGAAATACTCACTTCTAACCAGAAACAGAGGCACACAGCTACACGAACCGATCCTGCCACCACACCCCAGTTAAGTGTAATAAAACACCACAGCGATGTCCCCTGGAGCCGTAAGTGGCACCCCAAATTTTGAGGACCATTCCCAGCCACGTGCCTCGGTCACAAGCGCGGTGGCACGGGGAAACCAGCACCATTTTGTATGCAGAAAGCAGCTTTAACCCCGAGCCTCCCGCAGGCACCACCATGGCAGCTGAGGCCGTGGCACTGAGGATTTCCAGCCCAAAGCCCTGTCCCAGCTCCGGCCACCGCGCTCAGGGCGCCGTGCGGATCCCTCCAGGCTCCTTCCAGGCTCCTTCCAGGCTCCTTGCAGGATCCTTGCAGGCGCACGTGTGCGGGCGCACCCGGACAGGGCGGGCGATGCCCATAGCACAACTGGTGACATAAGCTGCAAACAGAATTGCAGCAGTGTGACAAGCCAAATAATAGCATCTTACGCGTGTTTCTTTACTCTTGAGTGTCTGTTTTGCAATCAAGACATACAAGTGTCTGCCAGTTTCTGAAGGATATGATCCTTAAGTGAAATTACTGTGCAAATAAAAGCTTTTTACTCCTATTAAAATTCATCTGAGTCATAAGTGGCAAGGAAAAAAAGCTTGCAGAGTGTATTCTGCTGTCAATCTAATAAACATTCTGTGTGGAGGGACTATTTATCAAAGATAAATTGTACTTAAAAGTCCTTCATTAAATCTATGGGGGGGAATATAATTACAACAAATTGCACAGTTTCAGTATCCATGGTTGGTGTCTTCTTTGTACTCAGAGTTTGAAAATAAATTTAAAAAAAAAATAAAAAAGGAAGAATGCAGAAATAAGTTATATTTGTGGACTGTATTATTGCCTCTTGCAAGAGACTATTTTTATATGATTTCAAAAGATTAGGTTTAGATGCCATTTAGTTTTTTTAAGCTACATTAACACTCCTGAGCTGCCCAATTTCAAAATTTAAACTTGAAGAGAAAGCCAGACCTTCTGCATTCATCTAGGTTACAGTATTTCACAGGGGTTGAAACACAGAATTCCCTATGCACTTCACAACATTCAGCAGTGGGGGAAAAACACATTCCTCAGTATGCTGCACTTTAAAGCTCAGTTCTCCACACCAAGCTAAAATATCCCTACCAAACATTGTTTTTACTATCTTTATAATTTTCATATCTTTTAGATTCCTTTCTCTGCAGGACTCCTGCTTTGCTTGGAGTGAGATGTAAGAGTCAGTACTCTCAAAGCTTTAAAACGCAGGTCTTTGTTATTGATGAGCTGTTCCTTTTCCTTTTGTATTTGTTTATTGTTCTTTAGTCTGTTTGGGGGATAAGCAAGTTACTGTAATCAAAAAGTAAAAAATAACAACAGTAAACTTCTGGGGAAAGGCCTTTTTTGGCACAGCTGGTTCGCAAATGACCTTTCAGAATATAAAAAGACATAGCCAAAGAAAGGTTCCTTCTCTAAGATTACCTTTGATGTATTTCTGCTGCTGGCTGGACCCCACTAAATACCTGCATAAATATCCCTTTGTGATGCTGCTCCTTATCCCTGGAGAGGAGTTGTGGAGTGGGTGCAGGGTGCTGTTCACCCAACCCGGGTGCAGCCGGGTGAGAGCCACAGGACTCTCTGGAAGACCATGTCAAACAATGCCTGCCAGTGCTGCCACAACAAAGACAATTAAGAAAATATCACATATTTTCATTACATGACCAACGCTGCTGCTATGCCTTTGATTTAGCGAGAACAATGCTGAACATAGGAAGCAGAAGTTTTGATATGCTGCTACCCAAGTGCGGATGAGGTTCTGATTTTCTTCCTTTATGCTCAGAAGGAGGAGGAGATGGGAGAAAGAAGGGGACATAAATTAGGGGAAGGTTGTTAAGTTTGGGTTATAAATAGAGACCAGGGGGTTTCCACTGGCCTAAACCAGAAGAAACATTTGTTGGAGTCATAAATAGATTGCAGGTGGACTCTGAGAGCAGGGAAATCTGCTAGCCATCACATCTGTGCTGATGAGTACTTGTCACCAGCCACTGCTCCACTCCACAGGGTTTCACAGCCCAATTCTGCCAGCCAAAGTAAAGTCAATAAAGCAGTACCAAAAGGAGCCATACAACTTCTGATGGCACAAAACAGGTGTTTCTCTTCCACCGGACCACTGGAGTCCATAGTCAGTTGACAAAAATTATAGTAGGGAAAAGTGGTGTTACTTAATAGTGTTCTAAGGGTAACAGCATCCTGTCCTACCTCTCCCACTAAATTGTATGTTTATGTAAAATGCAAAACTACCTCTTACAACCAAATCTCCATGACAAAAATAAGAACACAAAAAGGTGCAGTAATAGCAATAGAAGGTGGGAGTATGGGAGAAGAAACCAAATACAGTGAAAATTATACCTTGGGTTTTGTGGATTGTTTTTTGTCAGTACATTCCCTACTGAGCCCCCGAGTCAGCAGGCAAGTAGACTGACTGCTACAAAAAAAGATGGCCAGGGCATATTTCGCCCCATCTGGGCTTAAAAACAAGTTATGTGGTTTGCACAGATATGGTTCCCTTACCATATACATCAGAACATTGCAAATCTTCACCAAAATGTCCAAAATTGCACTCTGTTACACCTCACATTAGTTTATTAAATATGATCTTCCCTGTACACTTGAAACTGATGTCCCCAGAAGCTGTAAATGTTCAAACTCCATTGGAGATTTTATAGAGTAATCACTACCCATATGTTACTTACGTTAGTGTTTGGACTGCTGACCAGATGTGGATTTTCAGCATGCTTTACCTAACTGTTCAACCATGTTTCCAAATGTCTGTCATTCCTGTGGTCAGGAGGGTGAAAATCTTACGTAGCTCAGATTTCAGTAGAGAAATTGTCTGCTCTGTGTCTTCATTATTTTCACTAGCCTCAGTCTTGGGTTTGGAACCAGTGAAATGTATTAACTGTGGTCACACAATTTCTCTTCAGATTCCTAATCCACGTTCTGCCTGAAGTCACTTCACTGTTGTCACCTGTGGTTTGACGTCATCAATTCACTCGAGTACATCATTCTGTATTCAGTGGAAGCAATACTGAGCAATGTTCCAGTTCCAAACACAATGAGCACGCTGCCTTTTTTATTAACCATTATACACGTCAACATCATGACCACACCCTTGCTTAGATTTCCACCCCAGCATCTAAGCAAGAAAATTATTTATTCCATATTACTAGACGATGTCAGACACCACCTTCTTTCAGAGTCAAGGACTCCTTACTGAACCAGGAGATAAATGACATTTTGCAAATCACTTTTTTCCCTGAGCTCTGAGTTCTGGAGCTAATTTGCTTCCGCGGAGTGGTGGTGAGGATTGGCATTAACACCTGCACAAGCCAACAGCACTTTCAGTCTGATGGAGGAGCACACACTCAAACTGCTACAGAGACAGCTAATGAAAAAAATAACAATAATAAAAATACCAAAACAGTCGCAAAAATCATGAGCCTCTAGCAGCAGCAAAGGGAAAGAAAACGGAGAGGAGCCTCACCACCACGTAGTACACACTCCAGCAGCAGAAACTTAATTACACTTGGAATTCAGCCGCACTTCCCACATTCCA